AATCAGGCTTCGCGAAGTGGTCGATGGTCTCATGCATGCTGCCCCACATATCAGAAAGCATGTGGATCGTGTCTGTGACGGCCCTGCAATTCTCGATGGACAGCGCCCGCGTCACGCGATCCGAAATATTAATTGGCGTCCACTCATAATGTTGAACGCCACCTGGTAGTGGGACTTTCGGGATAAACTCGCTCAGCCGCGCCATCGTCGAGGTCATGCCAGCGAAATGCTCCCCCATGCGCACTTTTCCGTCACCGTTGCACCAAGCGACAATTTCGTCATCATATGTGCGCCTCTCGGCGGTGGCGCACTCCCTCTCCAGCTGCATCTCTCGACGCTGGTCGGCGATGGTGCTCAATGAGTTTGAAGGCTGGTGATCGTCAAGCGCCCTTGCTGGCGCTATCTCAAACTTGTTGTCGCCGCCGCCGCCGTCGATCTCAGCCATGTCCCTTTCCAACCTCTTGGCAGCGATCCTCAAGTCGATTTCCGTTGCTTTCCTTGCTCCCTGCACCCTCCTGGAAGACCGTTTGGAGTTCTCGCCAAAAGGATATGCATTCCCTGCCTTTGCAGCACGCGCCGCAATGCGGCATTCCTGCACGAGCTGTTGTTTATCTTCACCGCTGAGCCCCCTGTAACGCCGAGAAAGTTCTGACATGTCTTGGAGCCCACGTTTGCCAAGCGACTCGCGTCTGACGAAGAGCCGCCAAGCCCCTCCGCGGAAACGAGTCTTATTAGCCCCAGTCCCAGACTTGCTGGTGCTGTTCTTGGCATCGCCATCCTTGGTTTGGTGTTTCCGAACGTTCCGAATCCAGCCAGCCCGAAGTTCACGCTGGTGCCTGCGATACCTCTGACACGTCCGCTGGGCGGACAGCCTGAAGATGTGCATGCGATGGGTTTGCACTCCGAGTGCAACCAAGCTCCTACGTATGGCGGCGTGGCTCGCCTCTATGCTGCACGTCTCCACCTTGGTAATCGCAGCAGTGCGTCGAAGCTCCGCAAGGCAATCGGGGCTCAGCAATCCTTGAGGCGATGGGAGATACTTGTCAATGAGCGCTTGGCTCCACTTATCTTTAAGATCTGCGCAATCATCCTCGATCTCCTTGGCTACCCCAGGCTCCAATAGCAGACGGAATACGTTGAAAGGATATCCAGCGTGAAGGGTGCGCAACTCATTGCACAAGCAGCCGACCTGGCTCAACATGCAACATATGCGCGAAGACATGGCAGACGTCCAGCATACTCGAGGCATTGCTTCCCAAAGGTCCTCATGATGTGCCAACTTCTCAAGCTGGTCGAAAACCCCATCCTCGAATACAAACGAACAAGCTACGATGAGAGGACATTCATCCAATAACCCATCACGGCCAACACCAGTATTCATACGATAGAGCTTCTGAGTATCGACGCGTTTCTGCTGCTTCTCCCCAGCTCGGTCCAGGTATCGCCCCATTACCCCAAGCATCGGTAGCAACAGCCTCCGTATCGTCACAAGCATACCGAGAGGGCTATCTTCCAATAACCACTTCCGCCCCTCGGAAACATGCTTTGCCTCAGCCGTGCGCTTGTCGTCGGCCTTCGCAGGATCAGCTGGGTCAGCAGGCCCTCCACATCCACCCCCATGTTGTTCCTGAGCTGCTTCTGGGTCTGGGAGGTCGCCGTGGCCGCCCATGGCCTGCATGCCGTCGGCGTCGCCGTCGAACTGAGGCACCTTGACGCCACCGATGTGGTCGGGCACTTCGTGGCCCTTGGAGCCCGACCACGCCACGAACGTCCTCGTCAGGAGCCCGTGGATGCAGTCCAGCAGCCCCATCCAGTCAACCGCGTCCTCGAACCCAGTCCACCTCGATGACGGCCACACTTTCGGGTCTGTCGCGGAGGTACATGCGACAAACATCGTGACAAACTTGGTGACGCACTCTTCTCGAGAGCCGCAACACCCATCACAGCAATGCTCCACCACGCGCCTGTGTCGCACTGTAAGCCGATGCGCCACGCCAACGCTGCAGCCTTCTCTCCGACCACAAATACACAAACTCTCCTGTTGAACCGAAGGTTTCGGGAACTCGGGGACCCCAGGCTAAGGGCCAACCAAAACGGCGACGAATGGGGCGGTGCGCCCCAGCCCCCGCAGGAGCATGCGCAGAGAAGGCTGCAGCAGGACGAAGTGGCACACAATATTAATTACACTGCGAGCACCTGTTTGCCCAGCAACCGTTGGCCAAAGATATGATCACGGTGCGCCTCAACTTATTGTGCCCCGAACGTGGTTCCAAGAATACATCCAAGAGTTGCTTATTCATCCGAAGGTCGACGTAGGAAGGCTTAGTGTCTGCACGATATATCAAACTATGCGAGATAATGTTTCTCAAATGCGCTCGGAACGATCTCATGCCATCCCCGCCGAGGAGGGCTCTGGCCGCGTGCACCATACTGTCCGTGTGACTCTTGATAGGCGTGAAGATCTTTGAATACCACCCATATATGATGTGTACTTCGCACCGAATCTTTAAAGTGCTGCTGGAGTCACCAAGTATTCTGTCCAAGTTTCTTTCTGATCGGCGGATCTCTCCAGCACCATCTGTTGTAACGACACGCTGCCTCCTAGAGAACTGATGCGGTATGTCACCCATGCTTGGTTTGCTTTGACAGACTGCGTCGTACATCACCTCGCCCGTTGTCCTGCTCAAAGATTGCACTGGTGTTTCGAATGGAATATTTATTGCGAAATGTGACACCCATGGGGATCGGAACAACATAGAATAACACCTCTCCGTGTTCAAGATCTTCGCAACATGCGTTGATTTGCACGTACAACTGATAACTGCAAGTTCATTTCGATTGTGCTCCATCTGGACGATTGCCGAACCATCACCACCAGATCTCTTCAGCTTCTCCGAGTCTGTCAAGCGCATCTCCATCGGCGTTTCATCGTATCGAACCATCTCTGTCCAAAGAACTGGTTCACAACCTTGGTGTTTAGCTTCCTCGACCAATCGCCCGCACATGACATTTGCATCCCTCCAGTGTAAAAGAGTCGAAGCACATGCTGTCGCCATGAGCAACTTTTCTGCGTGAACTCTGGACAGCCCGAGCCGATCGCACTCATCAGTCCAAGGGAGCACCTTCGTCTTATCTTTAGTCCAGTATTGACATGCCGTGAAATCTTTTGTGCTAGTGATATGCTTCAAATCTGGCCTACATGACGCAATCGCGTTGATCTGCTCCACGCACTGTGCAATGTTGAACTGGTCATTCGATAATGGTGATTTGTATTCACGGGGCACAAGTTGAATGTCTCGATCGTGCTGTGGTGCGTCGTCATGCTCTGCTGGACCGTGCTGGTTTACGTCATCATCGTAATCTTCCAAGGCCAATGCTGGTGGACCAGGCTGTTCTGAGTCATCGTAATCTTCCAAGGCCAATGCTGGTGCCACTGCTGCTGGCCGTCGTGCTTCGGAGCGTGTTCGTCTGAATTCTCGGCACGTCCGCTTGACGAGGGGCATGCACACTCGAAATATGTAGCTCCGTTTCTTCTGGCTCGCGGCGCACTCGATGGCATGAGCGGCTAACCCATCGGCGAACACATCGACGCGCTCGAAAGCGCAGGAGCCCCCACCGTCTGAGATCGGGACGCCTTCGGCGGCCCAACCGTCGTCGGAGATCGGGACGCTGACTCCTGCCCAACCGTCGTCGTCTGAGATCGGGACGTCGACTCCTGCCCAACCGTCTTCGTCGTCTGAGATCGGGGGTCCGACTCCTGCCCAACCGTCTGCGTCGGGCAAATGCCCCCCTGCGGGGCCGGCCAAAAGGCCTTCAGGGGGCGCTGGGCCCTCCATGAGCCATCACGGCTGGCCATGACGCGGTGGAGCGGGCGATGGAGCGGAAGAGGACGGGGATTACCATCATGAAGAGAGGGGTCAAGGCCAAGGATAGGAACTACTGAAGGGAGTGAGCACGGAAAGGGGCCAATGAGGAGGTATAAGCACAATGATGGAGGATGGAACAGGGGGGGGCACAGAGGAACATGGTAAAGCATACGTGCAGGATACTGCTTGGTCGTCTCTATCTGCCCTGGGCAGGGACGCGGGATGTGAACAGGAGGGGGTGGGCCCGTTATTTCCTCTTCTATCTCCTCATTCACATCTTTGTCGTCCCCATTCTCTGTGCCGCCCCTCCTGATACCTGCCTCATCCTACTCCCTGTCCCCTCTCGTGAGACCTATCTACCTCCTGATGCTACCTACCTACCTCCTCCCACTCCTGGTTACCTACTCCTACTCCTACCTCCTACCTCCTCCTACTCCCTGTCCCTTCTCGTGATACCGACCTACCTCCTGATATCTACTCCTTGCCGTCCCTCCTGATACCTACCTACCTCCTCCTAATCCTGATGCATACCTCCTCCTGCCTACCTCCTCCTCCTCCTGATACCTACCTCCTACGCGACGGCAGCGATGATGAGGGAATAGGTATATAGAAGAGGGACGCCACGAAATTTCTATGAGTGTTCAGGGGGGCGAGGCCCAGAGTAGTCGGAGGAAGAGCGGGGGATTTTCGAGAGCAGACCCATGGTAACGCGAGGCATGCATCATTTAATATTATGTATGGAAGCTTCTGGGCACTAGATGATATAATAGTTTGACAAGAAGAGTAGAGGATAGTAGTTACGATGTTGTGTTTCGGCGCGTATATGCGGTGCTGGAATTGTATCAACCGTAGTGCTAGAGTGTATATGTATGTTGGGAATGCTACGTCGGAGGTAGTTTTGCGTGTACTTGGGGCCCTAGTTTGGGACTCCCAATCTTGGTCGGTATGTAGTTCAAACCCTATTCCAAAACCTAGTTTGGGATGTGGTTTGGTCAATGTTCTGCACCTCCCTCTGTAAGAGCCCACGACGATCATAACCACTGCTACCAAAGGTAGGAGAGGGAGGAGGAGGAGGAGGAGGAGGAGGAGGAGGAGGAGGAGAAGGAGGAGGAGGAGGACCTCCTCATCCTCGTCCTACCTATAGTGATGGTGGTGGGAGAGTGGCCCGTCCAAAGAGGACGAGAGATGCTGCCCTTCTCGGTGGCGCCACTCTCCCGGCGCCGCCGGGTAGCATTCGCGGAGGTCCGCCCGGGAGGCCCCGGGGGCGCGCGCGTGCGCGCGCGACAGGCATTCTCGGGCGGGTGGCCATGGGGGGTGACCTAAATCGGCGGCGCGCAAAGTTCGGTAGCAACTCGTGGGAGCCTCCCATATCATATTGCCGGCTCTTGCGAATCGGCGTTAGTCGACGTTCGTGGACGCTAGATCAGCGCTAACCGACGCTAAATCGGCGCTATCTCATCGACTGCCGAATACTAATCGACGTTCATCGACGCCAAAGACAGAATTAGGAGGATCTGCCTGGCGCCCATGATTCGCTGCCGAAGCATTGGCCGCGAGCACAGGGGGGTATGGGGGAGCAGGGAGGGCTTCTCAGAAGCAGGGGTGCTCCTGAGAATCCTTCCCCGCTCCCCCATAACTACCCCCCTCCGCGCGTGGACAAACCTCCCTTTAGTATACCTCCCTTTTGTGAAAACGGCCCAGGACCAAAACCGACGGACCTGGACTCGCGAAAATGACGGCCGCGACGCCCTCTCGCGAACCGAAAACGGCCAATTCGCTAATCGACGTGTCAGGGTATAGGAGGTCTATCAACCTCCGACCCCTCCGCGCGTGGGGCGCCTCTGGGGCCCCTGCTGGCTCCGGGCCTTTTCCTCACCCCCCCTGTAGGTCACCACCTGGTACCACCCGCCCGACACTCTGGGGGGGCAGGATCAGTCAGCAACGGATCGAGACATCGGGTCAGATCGGAGCGTGCGCAGGAACCGGCTGCATCGGCACAGAGTCGAAACGGAATCGGATCGACTGGACCAGAAAACGCAGCAGCGCAACGCAAGGGGACATCGAATCGGACGGGGAACGGACCCGCCAGGCCCATCATCGAGCTGCATCGATCGGACCGAAGTGGACCCAGGGGGGGCGGGGGCGGAGCCACGTGGACCCGATCGAGACGACGCACCCCGACCCCCGACGTCTGGAACACCTCAGGACGCGCTCGGTCGCCATCCGGGAGTCCGGAAGCAGTGCGGTGACAGCAGACCGTGCGGTGGCCTCGGCATCACCCGGAGGCCTCACCGCACGGTGCCGGGCCCTGGAAGGCCCCCGCCGCCCGAGAGGATAACCCTCGGAGAACGGCCCTGGTCCCAAAGCGGTGCGGTGACCCGAGCCCCCAGCCGCGCCCCTGCTCTGGGATCCTGGGGGCGACAAGCTCCCCCCCCCCCTCCCCCCACTACAGGGGCCCTGGGACACACAAACAAGCGGACGCAAATCTCAGGATTCCCCATACTTTCCCTTATTTTCCACGTTTTCGTCTTCCCCCCCACTTCCCACATTTTCCCATATTTCAGTTGTGTCTGTGTGTTTCCCCTCCTGACCCACCCGACAGGACGGAGAGGCCCAGGGCTGGCGCACTGGAAAAAACCGTGGCGTTGGAGGCCTGCGAAAGCCCCCCCCCTCGAGACGAAGGCAGGATGCGGGCAGATCGATTCGGACGATGCCAGATCGGGAATCTCAGACTCTGCCAGTGTGCGGGGCTGGAAGATGTATCGACCTCCGCGGCAACTGCGGAGCGTTCCGGGACGCCCCGATGATACGTCGACCCCCATCCCAGGTTTTCGAATGGACCAGAAATTTGGGGCCCTGCGATGGGGGGCGTCCATCCTCGATAGTTGTGCGTTCGATTAGCCCCCATTGGGGTGTATCGCAGGGTATCCCTCCTTTTCTGAGCGGCACCATTCTTCGTCGAAGTGACGGGGATTGGGGGAGAAACATCGCCTGCGATGAGTGGGCGGGGCTGGAGGATGTATCGACCTCCGCGGCCGCTTCGGAGCATTCCGGGACGGCCCGAGAGCGCCCCAGATCGGCTGCACGTGAGAGCGACCCTGGGCAAAAGTGACCTCTGGCGCGCGGCTTACCGGGGGACGCGGGGTGGCCCAACCAGGCGCGCAAGCCGCAGCTGCCGCTTCGCGTCCAGCGATCGGGGGACCCCATTGGTGACTACCTACCAGACCACCCCAACCCAACCCGAAGACCCAAATTTCGGGTTGGGGGGGGGTATGGGTTCCATACGTGTTTTTTCGATGTTCCCCGACCCCCCAACACTGGAAATGGAGGGCAAATGGAGGCCTTCTGGTTGGGTTGGGGTGGTTTGGTAGGTGGTGAATTGGGCCCGCACCGAAGGTGACTCTGGCGAAAGGTCACTCTTGCGTCTAACCGACCGGGGCTCTCTGGAACGGCGTGTCCTCATCCCAGAGCCCCGCCCGGCCGACCTCGCGCCCCCCTGGACGTTCCGAACGAGCTCGGGAGACGGAGGCTGCCCGCTGCCTCTGGAGATCCCGGGAGGCCTTTCCTCTCCTTTTCCAGCTCGCGGGGTCCAGATTCGAGCGAAGCACTGGCAGCCACGCCTCCTGACATCGGCGCCGCGAAGCCTATGAGCTCCGCCCGAGGTCGTGCCCCGCCCGAGGCCGAAGCTACAGAGCCGACGACACAGATCTGCGAAAGAGGTGCGAGCCACGCAGAGCCCGCAACTGCACTGTCCCAGGAGGCCTCCGGAGGTGTCCCCAGAGCTCCCTAGGCGACCTGTTCATGCCTCTGGAGGCGCAAGTGAGACAGGGGAAACAAAAGTGAGGCAGGGAAAAAACTCTATCCTCCTCGACCCCGTCCTCCTCCTCCTCCTCCTCCTCCTCCTCATCCTCCTCCTCCTCCTCCTCCTCCTCCTCCTCCTCATCGTCCTCCTCCACCCCTCCTCCTCGTCCTCCTTCTCCACTCCTCCCCTGCTTCCCCCCGTCCCCCTCTCCCTCCTGGACCTCCTCCTCTCCCTCCCTACCCTCCCCCTCCGCCTCCGCTCCCCATCCCTCCCCTCCCCGAAGTCAACCGGGGGGCGCTGGTCTTCCAGACTGTCTCCAGACGGCCACGAAGGCGCAGGGAGGAATATGGACGATGGAGGGGGGACAGGAAAGAAAGGAGGGCGGGAGAGAAAGAGAGAGAGAGAGAGAGACAGCGGGAGGGAGAGGGAGGGAGAGAGAGAGAGAGAGAAGACGGCGGACGAGGAGGATAAAGGACGACGAGGAAGGAAGAGGGATTCAAAGGAGGAGGGAGGTTGACGACGAGGGAGAAGGACGGAGCATGACGGAGAAGGCAGGAGGAGAGAGATAGGACAGAGGTCAGCGGTAGGCGCCGTAGCCGTAGCCGCCACCTCGGGGAATGGGCGCGCGCAGCCGTTCCTCCTCCTCCTCCTCCTCCTCCTCCTCCCTCCTCTCTCGACCCCATCCTCCTCTGCCCTCCTCTCTCGTCATCCCTCTCGCCGGTGGCGGGATGGGCCCAAGGCCATTAGATATACTGTCGGCGTCCCGCGCGGATTTCTTGGATCACCCCTTACGTGTATGTCCGAACGGGTATGTTTATGCGATGTGTTCTTGTTCGAGTCGCTCCCGGGAAGCCGAAATGACTCATCTGGTTTTGCTCACCGTGCCTCCCTGTCTGACCCTCGTTCTCCTGGTCCTCCTACGGTCTAGCCGAACAATAGGGACGCACGATAAGGATCCCAGGGCCTCGGTAGGCCACGTCGACTTTCTGCGAGCGGTGCGCGGCCTGCGCGAGCGGCGAAGGATATGCCGAAGGTGGAAGATGCAAGGGTAGCCTTGGAAAGTGGCTCATCCTTACTATGCGGGTTGACTGTGCCCCTCTTCCTCCTCGAGGGAGGAGTCCTCCTCCCTCAGGCTGCTCCTCCTGGTTCCTGCTTCCTGGTGGCTGCAAGATTGAGGGGCAACGATGGGGGGGGACTGGCACAGGGGGGATGCATCGACCTGGAATCGGCGATACATCGCCGATAGATCGGCGATAGGCCTTCGATAATGAATCCGCACTTTCCTGGGCAGGTTGGGGCTACCGGGCCCCTATCGGCGATCAATAGGCGATTGGGTGTCGATGCATCCGCCCCTATGCCTATCCCCCCTATCGTTGCCCCCGAAAGATCCTCCGGATGCAGCCCCCCCTTCCAGGGCCGGTCGGCAGACAGAGGTCGAGGAGCGAAGAGGACAGGAGGCGGAAGAGGGATCACGACCTTTGGAGGGAGAAATGGAGAGGGGTGGATAGTTTTGGCAGTGGCAGCGGCGGCGCTGCTGCTGCTGCTGCTGCTGCTGCTGCTGCTGCTGCTGCTCCTCCTCCTCCTCCTCCTCCTCCTCCTCCGCCTCCTCCTCCTCCTCCTCCTCCTCCTCCTCCTCCGCCTCCTCCTCCTCCTCCTCCTGGTCAGCTTGCAGCACCCGTCGGGCGGCGACCAGGCTCTGGGGCGCCGTACTGGCTCCCGAGCTGGCTCCCGGGCGGCGGCGGCGGCCCGTACCTTCTGGCGGCTGGGGGGCGGGGGAGGCAGGACTGCCTTGCCAGCTCTATATTCGGAGGCTGACCCTTCGCCCTGCACGGGTCCCCCCAAGCCCTGCTCCTTCTGGACGGCAAGAGATCCGCAACTCCCACAGCACAGGTGGGGGGAGCTGGGGGAGCTGGGAAGAAACAGAAGGGGGGGAACACACTTGTGCTGGATCCTCAGGGGACCTTGTCTGTCCCGTCTATCGAGGCCCTATCCGCGTCGAATGCGTGTCGAGTCCATGTCGGGCACGTCGAGTCCGTGTCGAATCTGTGTCGGATCCACGTCGAACCCGCGTCGAGTCCGCATCGAGCCCGCGTCGGGCACAAGAGAAGACACCAATTTTGGGGACAGGCGGGCCCCCCCGAAGGCGCAACGCAAGCTGGGGGGGGGGGACGGCACACGAAGAGGACGGGACGGAGGGCGGAACAACCTTAAGACTTGAGCAAGGACCGACCGCCTGGCATCCTGTGCAAACCACGGAAGGTTATTAGGCAAATATATGGAAGGCCTATGAGCGCTTCGCCACTGCTGGAAAAACGAAGTCAGGACGAGGACAACATCGGGTGATGATGACTCGAGCAGATCTGAGATCTGGCGGCTCTGGAGGATGTCTGGGCGCCGCGGCCCTCTCGGAGCGTTCCGGGAGTCTTCGAAAGCGCTCAGGAACGGATCTGCCTCAGTAATATATACACCACCACCACCACCACCTCCACTCCCTCTCCCTCCGCCACCTGGCCCCGGGAGGGCGCTTCCCCGCCTCGTGTAGACCGCGGGCAGCAGGGGAACAGGTCGAGCTCCCCGAGGGCGGCCCACGCTACGAACAGAAGTGCGATGCCCGAGGTTGGGGAAGATACAAGCTTTGGGACGACTGTTTCTGGCCCCCTGTGAGCCTCCTCCAAATGAGACGAAGGCACGTCGAGGGCAAATTTGGCTGTGGACGAACAGGGAACCTCCGAGAGCCTGCGGGTCTGGATGACGTAGCGGGCGCCTCGGCCACTTCCAGGGCGCTCCGGAGCGCCATGAGAGCGTCCTGGCACGCTCTGGGACGGCTCATCCATCCTGTGGGCCTGCCTGGCCAGAGGCCTCCATGGTGCAGGGACCTTCGAACTCCCCGGAGGAGGGGAAGGAAGGAAGGATAAGGGGATTGTGGGGGATGGAGGTCCGAAGCCGAACGGCGGAGTCGGCAGCAGGCTACTCTCGAGGGGGAAAGGGAGGGAGGGAGGGGGAGACGAGCATGCCGCTCCCTATCTTAGCGACGATAAAAAAGGGTCCTACGCGAGATGACGCAGCGACCTTACGCGGTGGCGTACGCGGGCCGCCAGCGCGGCAAGCCACAATGGAGACGAGGGCGCTCACGCGCGACCTTACGCGGGCAACTTGCGCGTCAAGGTCGGCGCAGTCGAACCCGTTTTGTTGCGTCGCTCATCTGGCCGTCCTCATGCTCCCTCGAGGGGTGGGGCAGGGGACGACAGGGAAGAGGGAACAACTGGGGGGGGGACTCCGCCGCGCGTAGCCCATCAGCGCGCTGGTGGTGAACAAGAACACTGCCTTCCAACAGGAATGATAATAGCACGCTGACGGGTTCCCAACGGCTGCGCTTCAGTGTTGATTATCATTCGTCCCTCCCGAGACGAAGGGACGAGGGAAGGGAGGGAAGGACAAGTCATACAATCTGGTGTATAGAGGCGGGGACGAAACCGGAGGCAGACAACGGCTCTCTCCTCCGACTCCTCCTCCCCTGACGTCCTCTTCCCCCTCCTCATCCTCCTCCTCCTCCATACGACAAGTTCGTGGAGTGAAGACTTGGTCGTTGGTTTCTGACATTACGTGGACCGTTCAAGCTTGTACGACCGTGGCCTTTCGATAGCGCGACAGACCGTCCGCTGTCGACAAATTCCTGTCCACTGGCGGCGATTCACCTTGGACGCCAACGTGGGGGTCGCCGCCGCGCCGACACGACACGATGATCCTCGACCCTCGAAGATTGAGGCCGCTTCTGGGCTTGGGGCTTCCCAACACCGTGAGGTGACAGACCCGGCGGTTACTTCAAAATCCACAAAAACCTTACCGCAGGGTCCGTCACCACATTTTTTGGGGACCTCGGAGGCCCCAGTCTCCCGGGACATCCTCGAAGAACGACCCAACTCCCAAACCGTGCGTTGGCCCCGACCCCCCACCGACTCACCACACTGTGGTCACCACCCCGTTTGGGGGCCCCCGATGGGCGTTTGAGAGCGCTGATTGTCCCCCCGAGGGGCCTCCGGAGAGGGCGGCCCTCAGAGACCGCCAAGAGGGCTCCGCGGAGCTCGGGATGCTCCTCCTCTTCCCCGGTTCTCCTCCTCTCTGTCCTCCTTTTCTTCCTCCTCCTCTTCTTCTTCCACCTCCTTCTCCTTTTCCTCCCCCTCTGCTCCTCCTCCTCTTCCTCTTCCTCCTCCTCCTCCTCATCCTCCTCCCCCACCTCCTCCTCCTCCTCCTCCTCCTCCTCCTCCTCCTCATTATTATCTCTCCTCCTCCTCCTCATTATTATCATATTTTCCCTCCTCCTCCTCCTTCTCCTCTCGCCTCCTCCTCGTGGGGAGGGAGGAGGGAAGCAAAGGAAGCAGGGAGGAGGGAGGGCGGGAGGAGGCTTCGTCGCCGTCCACTTCCGGCCGTCCTCCGCCTCGCCGCTGGTTTCTCCTCGGTCGGCCAGGCTGAGATAGCCACCGCCTCAGGCAAGCCTGTCCCACTACGGGGATGGTTGGCCAACGCCGCACCGTTTCTCAAAACATGTTACAAAACTCCGTCTCCCAAATCCGCCGCGAGAGCTGGTCGCGAGCGAACTCTTGCCAATTCTGCGGTGATGTCCCCACCCCACGGGAACGTAGAAATTCGCAGACATCGTCACACCATCTTTCGTTAGGCCTTCGCGGCTTCCTGCCCTTCTAGCGCCCGTGGTCGCCGGGGTCCCAAGACGATACCTTACGAGCCCAACGGCCCATCGGAAAATATGCAACTCTCGCCGCGAATATCCAAACTCTGCGACGCCACGCAACGCACCAGTCTTCAACGCAGTACTTGTTCATCTGGTCATCCATATAGCGCGTAGCCCGTCTGACCCACTCTACCCAAAGTTCGCCGCTTCCGGAAGAGTAGATGACGACGGCGAGGTACATAACGAACGAGAAGCAGAAGGTGAAAAAGATTGGCAAAAAATATCGCGGTGCTGAAAATGAGCTCGCCCGCGTAACTGATTCTCCGTCGCGTCTCTGGCGCCTCCGGCCAGCACAAAGAATCATGCGCAACATCCTTCACTGTGTTCGCCGCGCTCTGCATTCCATCTTTCGCGTTAAGACCCAACTGGGCGAACCGTGCACACATGCAGGCGTGACAACAGTATTGAACAAACGCATCCGGCTTTTTAACACATAGCTTGCGTTCGTGAACTGATCTTTGTACGACACGAGCGCTTTCCAAGCTTGCCGTATCCTGTTGTGGACGTCGGTCTCCGTAGGATCTTTGAACGATAGCAGCCTCCCCAAGTACTTGGTCGACACTGCCAAATCAACAATCACAATATCAAGGTCGTCGACGAATGCGGTTTTAGTGCGTCCGCGGCCAGCCCCAACAGTAGCGTACGTGAGGATATTTGTCTTCTCAGGGTGGGGAAAAACCAAATTTTCCCAGCCACTCTCTGGATGTCCCCCAACATCTGCTTGATCGGCCAATGTGCCCTACCAATCAACAGTACATCGTCCGCACTGTGTGGTCGGCCACACTGCTGGGCGCGAACTAAAGTGGAGGCGATGAATGGGGGTGCGGGGAGGGTACGCTTCTCGGGCACCAGAGGCCCCCTTCTGAACCCTAGTGGCTATTCTAGGGGTCCTCAAGGGCCTCTTTTCTTGGGCAGCCCTCGCTCCCCCCCCATATGTCGCCCCCCCATCACGCATCCTCGGAAACGGACCTCGCCGCCGGCTCTTCCTCGGTCGGCCGGACTGCGTGCACGAGTTGGCGGGTGCCTTCCCCGCACAGGGAGAGAACAGCGCAGAAGGAAAGGCGAGGGACAACAGGAGCCAATCCCCAACCAACAAGGCTTCCCGCCCCCCCCCGCAGGTCGCGCCCTCCTCCCCTCAGCAGGGGTATGCGGGCACGGGCGCAAGCCAGCCAGTTCCCAGGGGGACCTCGCACCACTCCTCGGCCCCCCACACAACAGGAAGGCAATCCTGCGAACTTGCTATGGGCTGTGGGCATCTTCCTCCTTCCTGGTCTTCCAGGAGAATGGAGGAGGAAGAACGAACGAACGAGCTCTAGGGGGCCGATCCGTGAGTCAACGCCTCACAAACAAAAAGTTGGCCCCTGAGTGGCCCTTGCAGGCAGCTTCACTCGGCATCCAACCTCCTCGGGCACGGCCGAGTGCTCAAGCCCCGACCCGCCCTTAGGCGCGGGCATACGCACTCGAGGGGGGCGGCGGCACGGCTAACACTCACAGACTAATGGCCAACTTCGGGCCCGATCAAAACTGCAACGAAAAAATACCTGGACTCGGACTTGGCTTTCGCCCGAGACTTGGGTCTTGAAACCGTCCGTCCCTGCGCAATCAACCTGCGAGAGTCCCCATGGGACTCCTTCCAGGGCTTGATTTTCTGAAAAACGGAACGGCTGGGGGGCCCCCGAAGAGGAAGAGACAGCAGCAGCAGCAGCACTCGAAGGAGGACGAGAGAGGGAGCGAGGGCGCCCCGAGCCGCGAGCTCGCGCAAGCGAGCAGACTGGGCCAGCATCGGCCGTCTCGCAACTTCTCGGGCGATCGTGGCCACGACACGGGCGTGCGCGGCCGCAGCCGCGCGCCTCTCGGCTGCGCCCCCTCCCTCCCCGACCCGAGCTCCACCCACCTCACCCATCCCACACTGCTGCACAGTACTGCTACCACTCACTATTCTTCCAAGCTCATGGGAGCGGCCTACTTCATGATACGATCGAGCAACTTGGCCGCATCCCTCTCGAAAGCCCCACGTGGGGCTGCTCCTACCCTCCGCTCCCCCCACACCGCCTTCAGGTACCGCACGAGATGATTCTCGAGCTGCTGATACTTGTGGTCCACTGCGAAGGTGAGCCTGAAACGATCTGATTTGGACTCCGGCTTCCTAGTGGCCCTGATCCTGCACGCGCGGACTTGGTCGGCCAAATCCTGTAGAGGCTTCACCAGGACTACGTCGTTCCAGTATTCCTCGAACCACTTCTTGCAGTCCGCGGGGCACTTGCTGTCTTGACCTGCAGCCGAGATCAGGGCCACCCACACCTGAAGAAACGGCGGGCCCATCGACGACGCGTCGCCGTCCTCTTCCTTGATATTCTGCACTTTGTTGTGATACTGGACGCCTGCTGCCTTGGCGGCCACTGCCGCGGCCGCATCCAATGGCATCAGAAACGTGTAAAAAAACACTCCGCGTATGTCTCTCAACTCGGCGGCACTCGTGAGCGATAGTTTCGTCAGAATGATGACGAGCTGCTTCAGCACGTCGCCGCCCTTGGCCGTCGCCGCGTCCACATGCCTGGCCTGCTTCGCCAGACGAACGGCCTCTTCGCCTCCCTCCGTCTCCGTGGGCGGCGCCAGCATCCACGCGGGACGCTTGTCCATGGGCATGGGCCCCCCGACGTCGAAGCCAGGGTGGACGCGGCTTTGGCAGAGGATCAAGATGCGAACGTAAATGAGACTGCAGAGCCTCAAAGCTGCGGCCATAATACACGCACAACGGGCATTGATACGACGATGGCAAACAAACTGGCTGAAGATTACGAACAGTCATGTCACTACAGTATCCACGCGCGAGCGAATCTCGAAGATGTCGACGACATATGGCCCTGGAAGCGAACGTAGCCAGGCACACACAACATTGATTAGAGACGCCCAATACACTCGATAAGGATTGATATCCATGCCGAGCAATAATATGTGTATGTACAAGGCGCCTATCAGGTATAACAGCACCACAGACCACGTCACCACCACCACACATCATACATTGAAACTGTTGCTCGATCTCAATCACACTTGAAGCTAGCATAGGTTCAGGTCCAGGAATATGCCCGGGAGGGGGTATACATACTGTTACAAATGTACTCCGAAGTTCGCGCGCATCAATACGTAAGAATATTTCCCCCACCTCCTCGTCTCTAAACAACTCCACGAACCTTCCCCCAAGTGCAGCTAGTAGATCAGGGCCCTCACCGAGCACTCCCAATGCCTCTACATCTTCCCAGTACATACGCACCAAGGGATGAGCCTCAGCACTCAGGAGCCCACTAGGATTGATCGAGGATTTACAGTCAACTGCAGCGAATAGTGCAGCGATAACTTGTCAGTGAAACTGCGGGCGCCGCACAAGTTCCTGAAGGAAACGTAGACGCCTGATCCGAGCATCCAGCTCGGGAGAGACAAGCCTCCAGTAGGCCAGCACTTCAGCGTTCGAAAAAGAACGTGGATGTCGGTCGGCATGCGGCCCAAAGGCTTCACCCCGCATAGCTCGCCGAGGAAAAAAGGCAACATGGTTCGTCAGCCGCCGATACTCTGCACTCGTCGGAACATATGCCTCAATACCAGAAAGCCCAGCATTGTAAACCTTGCTCAAGCAAAAACAACGTCGTAAGCGATGCGGTATCCCAGGGATATGCCAGAAACGCCCCAACGAATAAAACCCAGACTGCATTGCTTTACATCTCGCTTTTAACTCGACGGCAGATCTATGAGGCTGAGCACTAACTTGAAAGCCCAGGGACTTGATCACCTGAGAGGCACGCCCAGGGAAGGCAAGGGCACCTTCTCGCAGGAGGAGGAAGAAGAGGACGACGAGGAGATGGTGGAGGAGGAGGGAAGCAAAAGAAGAGCAGAACAGAGACGTCGTCAAGATCTGCAAACATCAAACCGCGACACCGAATCGGATCGGAACGTACGTCGGATCGGTCTGCGCCGGCACTGGTTGCGCCAAGGTGCACAATAGCGCAGGAGCAGAGAAGGACTGAGTCAGAGGCGAGGGGGGCAGAAGAACGAGAGCACGACACACGCGCAAGCTTTTGGAGTTCCGCGCGAAGATCTTGGATCGGCGCTGGACACGCCCCCCTCTGGCGGCGCCTCGGGCGCCCCGCGTGGCGCGCTTCGCGTGCCAGGGCAAGGGGTCCAAGGCTGACCTAAGATATCCGCCCTCAGGGCCTCTGAAAGCGTATGCTCGTGTCGTGTTCTGTTCTTCGGGCGGGGTACCCAGAGCTCGACAACGGTGGTGCGCCTCCGTACTGGCCGCCGGGACTGTAGCCGCCCCCACCTCGGATGCGAGGATGTGCCATGAGGACCAGCCAAAGCGGTGCGACGAAGGCGACACGCGAAGAAGCCCGACACCACCAGCAGCAAAGCTAGAGGCAACAAACGAGACAGACCGAGTGTCAATCGGCGGCGAGCGAGGGGGGAAGTGAGAAGGGGCGGGTCTTCTCAGAAGGCTCGGAGTCCCCCGTCATTCTGAGTAGCTTCCTAAGCCTTCCGTACAGACACAGTCAACTTCTCATAAGGCGCGAGGGCTTCTGAGAAGTTCCGCCACCTTCTGAGAAGGCCTTCTCCTTCTCACTTCCCCCCCTCGCTCGCAGCCGAGTCAGATCAAGAAACAATACATTCAACACGTCCTCCTCATTGTCTGGAGGCCTCCAGAGGTCCCCGAAGGCGCTCCTGGAGAGGCCTCTGCAGGTCCAAGCATGAGCAAAACAGCACATCCAGAGCCCTCGAGTCTCTCAGCCCCTTCCTCCGCCACTGAGGGAGGACGTTCTGACTAACGTGGGCATTGGCTCAGGGCATCCCCCCCCTCCCCCACTGAGGGAGAACGTTCTTGCGTGACCACCGGCTCAGGGGAAGGACACATCGACCTGGGCTTGGCGACACATCGCCAGCGGACTTGCGCCAGGCCCCCGAGAGCGAAACCGCACGCTCCTGGGCGGGATGGGCTATAGAACCCCTATCGGCGATGGATGGGCGATCGGGGGCACTATCCCTCCCGAGCACACTCCCTTCTAAGATTGTCCCTGGTCGTCCCCTCACCTCCTCCTCCTCCTCCTCCTCCTCCTTCCTCCTCCTCCCGCCAAGTGGTTTCAGACGGGGCTCCTCCTTCTCTCCGTCCCTCCTCCACCCCACTACCCTCGAAATACAGCCAACCCGTACAGGAAGGATGCGCGATGAGGATGCCAGGGCCTTGGACGCGAATTTAGAAGCTTTTCGAGCGGGGCGCGGCCAGCGCAAGCGGCCAAGGATTGGCCGAATGGCAAGGATGCAAGGGTACCCTTGGGATAACTGCCCATCCTCACTATGCGGGTTGACTGTAACTCCTCCCTGCCGCACCCCCCCACTCCCCAACCCAGGCGTGTCCGTAGGCTGCGCCCGGCGTTTCGTCTAAGACTTCCTCACAACATATGGCTCCGAAGATGTGAGACACTTTCAAGGATGGAGGGCGGACCGTCTGCAACATGGAGCTCTCGCCTCAGCTCCGCGCAAATTCGTCTTCAAACATTGCAGCATGTTCGAGGATGGAGGATACTTATTTCCCGAAATGTGGCTCTCCCTTTAGCTCAGCGCTTCTCCATCAAATTCGCCAACCCAACGGGCCAGAGGCGTGCTAAAATCTCCGGTAACTGCTTTACAGTACTTCTACTTCGCGCGCGGGGGGCGGCCCCTGGGGGTCCCCGGAGGAAAAGTACCCCGGCAAGGTCGGGTCAGAGATGGTTTTCCGTCTGGGCGCCGCCCTCGAGACCCTCAAGAGAGCCCCAAGAAGGGTCAAGAGGCCTCCAAGAGGCCCCCAAGATGATACAAAAGGGCTCGAAGATGCCACAAGATCGCTCCAAGACGCCCAAGATGGCCTCCAAGAGCACTCTCAAGAGGGCCCCAAGATGCAAAATTCATTGTTTTTTTTAGGTTTTGGACAGATTTGGGTGTTTCCACTTTTTCGGCTGCCCGACGCCCCAAGACGGCCCAAGAGGCTCCCAAGATCGCCCCAAGAGGGCCCAAGAAGCCCCCAAGAGGGCCCCAAGACGGCCCAAGAGGACCCCAAGACGGCCCAAGAGGCCTCCAAGACGGCCCAAGAGAGCCCCTAGAGCGCCCCCAGAGCGGCCCCAGAGGGGGAGCACGAAACAACATTTCGAGCACTCGGTCCTGAGAGGCCTCCAGGAAGCCCCAAGAGGCCCCTGAGAGGCCCCAAGAGGCCCCCAAGAGGCCTCAGGAGGCGCCGAGAGGCCCCCAAGAGGCTCTACTTCATCGATTTTGGGGTTGTGGCGTTTATAACCAGGTTTGTAAGGAACTTATAATCAAGTTTAGCGTCACGCCTATAAGTATAATTATAACTCGACTTATAGCGTCATAACTTTTTTATCTTTTCGTATCTTTTTCGTAACTTTTCATATCTTTTTCATAACTGTCATAACTTTTTCATAACTTTTTCATAACTTTTCATAACTTTTCAACGTACTTGTCCCACCCTGCGCACGGCGAGCCGCTGCGCAGGGTTTCCAGACCCTATAGAAGTGTTGCCTCAGACTCAGTCATATTCATCGATCGAATTCGGATTCGATGGCAATTCGCATTCAGACTCAAATCACACTCAGACTCAAATCGAGATCCACATTTTCACCAGGGCGCATGTGCGGGCAGAGCCTCCCCAATCCGTCAAACCCATGCAATTGACGGCTAAACACATGCGAGCGCCCAACAGCGGCCTGAGAGGCCTCAAAATAGTGAGTAGTTGTCTGGTTCCTTCTCCTCCTCCTCCGTTGCTCCTCCCCCTTCCACACTGGCTGGGGCCCACCGCGCGGATCTACCATCCGCTGCGCAGCTGGCGCGCGAGGGCGGCCCACGCGCTAGGGCCGTCCACCGCCCACGAGTACGCCTGATCGACGCGGTTCCCGTTCTTCAGCACACGCCACTTGCGCGACGCGACCGACGTGTAGATTTTGTAATCCTTGAAACCACCAATGCCACCACCATGGGCATATCGGAGGCATATCGGAGCCCATTACATCACCCCTAGCTGTCATCATCATCGCCATCGCCATCGTAATCATCATCAACAACATTATCTCCAACATTATCACCCTCATCATCATCATCGTCGTCATCCTCATTACGTAAGGGGGCGGCGGAACGCACGCACGAAGTGCCCCGCACGTCTTGGGCGCCTCGTTGGTCTTCGGGATCCCTGGGTACGCCAAGCTCTTGAGCGCCGCGGGCGCGACCCTGGCCTTGTCCGTCTTCTTGACCTTCTTCTCGCCAGAGCCCGTCTTGTCCTGCTTGTCTTTCTTGGCCTTCATCGGGGTGGTCACCGCGGCCGCGGCCGCGGGGCGCCGCATGGCGGGCCCCTTCTGGCCGCCGCCACCCTGGGGACAATTAGACGAAACGCAGGCGGGTGGCAGGAGGAGGAAGAGGAGGAACGGCGGTGCTCGGAGCGGTATCTTTGCAGCTCCGAGGGGTTCGCTCGAGCGGACCCCCGTCGGAGCGCGGGGGGGGGATAAGGGAAGAGGAGGAGAGCGGGGGAGGAGGAGGAGGAGGAGGAGGAGGAGGAGGAGGAGAAGGAGGAGGAGGGAGGGAGGGGGAGGGGGGGAGAGGGATGGGGGAGGATCTAATATTGTTTAGCCCCCCGTCGAAAGCGAGAGAAACCCCCAGGGGTCGAAAGCGGGAAAACTTCCAGGAGGAGGGCCGGTTTAGCTCCCCAGGGGGGGGGGGGGGGTCAGGGCCTAAATCGGCACCGTTTTAGCGTCTGACCTCCCCCGCGGGCTAAATTCTGCAACGCCCCGTGAAACGGATCTCCTCCTCCTCCTCCTCCTCCTCCTTCTCCTCCTCCCCCCCCTCCTCCTTTGGGAGCACTCGGCCTTGGCGCCCAGCACGGCGTCCCAGTGCTTCTCCATCTTCGCGAGCGAGGCCGCGCGCGCCTTCTCGCCGCCGCCCGCTCCTCTTGGCATGGAAGGGGCGAGGGGTTCGAGGTTTGAGGTGTGAGGTTTATGTTTGAGGATTTTCCCCATATCCTAAGATGGGGTTCTTGTTATTACTTGGACGCCTCCTACTCCCTCTCCTTCTCCCTCTTCCTCTTTCCTCCTCCCCTCCTGTCGGACTTACTCATGCTCAGACTTGCTCATTCTCAGACTTACTCATACACATACTTACTCATACTCAGACTTACTCATACTCAGACCTACCCATACTCAGACTTACTCACACTCAGACATACTCATATACAGAATTACTCATACACAGACTTACTCTCACCCAGACGTACTCATACACAGGCTCACTCATACCCAGACTTACTCATACACAGTATTAGTCATACTCAGACTTACTCATACCCAGACGTACACATACACAGACTTTCTCATACACAGACCTACTCATACCCAGACTTACTCATACGCAGACTTACTCATACACAGACTTACTCATACTCAGGCATACTCATATTCAGCACCCCTAAGGGGAGCCGCCAGGGGTGGTTGCACGGGCTCGGTCGCTGCCATTTTGTGGGGATGTCTCAGGCGGTTTGCTTGTTTCTGTGCTCAACATCCTTCGCTTGGAGAGCAGATTGTGAGGATGTCTCAGGCGGGGCGCTGGTTTCAGCACCCCTAAGGGGAGCCGCCAGGGGTGGTTGCACGGGCTCGTTCGCGGCCATTTTGTGGGGATGTCTCAGGCGGTTTGCTTGTTTCTGGGCTCAACATCCTTCGCTTGGAGAGCAGATTGTGAGGATGTCTCAGGCGGGGCGCTGGTTTCAGCACCCCTAAGGGGAGCCGCCAGGGGTGGTTGCACGGGCTCGTTCGCTGCCATTTTGTGGGGATGTCTCAGGCGGTTTGCTTGTTTCTGGGCTCAACATCCTTCGCTTGGAGAGCAGATTGTGAGGATGTCTCAGGCGGGGCGCTGGTTTCAGCACCCCTAAGGGGAGCCGCCAGGGGTGGTTGCACGGGCTCGTTCGCTGCCATTTTGTGGGGATGTCTCAGGCGGTTTGCTTGTTGCTGTGCTCAACATCCTTCGCTTGGAGAGCAGATTGTGAGGATGTCTCAGGCGGGGCGCTGGTTTCAGCACCTAATGTGAGCCGCCAGGGGTGGTTGCACGGGCTCGTCTGTGCAATTTTGTGGGAGTGTCTCAGGCGGTTTGCTTGTTTCTGGGCTCAACATCCTTCGCTTGGAGAGCAGATTGTGACGATGTCTCAAGCGGGGCGCTGGTTGCAGCACCCCTATAGGGAGCCGCCAAGGGTGGTTGCACGGGCACGTTCGCGGCCATATTGTGGGGATGTTTCAGGCGGTTCGCTTGTTTCTGGGCTCAACAGGGAGTGAAATGACAGGAACGAGGATGAGGAGGAGGAACAAGAGGAGGAGGGGGAGGCGGGGGATCGCGAGGAAGGGCATGGGGGTGCGGAGGGGGAGGGGGAGCAGGAGGATAAGGAGGAGGAGCAGGAGCAGGAGAAGGGATGGGGGCGGAGGAACAGGAGGAGGAGGAGGAGGAGTGAGCTTTGCTCGAAGGTCCTTGGCGCGAGCAGAACGTTTGTTCCGAAGCCCAGGACACACATATATATACATATATATATATATATATATATATATATGCATTCATAGAAGGTGACTGCGAGGGGGGGGGGGGGGGGGGGGGGGGGGGGGGGGGGGGGGGGGGGGGGGATCGTTGGGCGCGGGGTTCGTTGGAAATGCTCACCGCGGCACTATCCTCCAACATGACATGCACGTATGGCCTTGTGTGGCTAAACGCTCGTCTTACATATCCCACTGCCAACTATCCTACAACATATGCACATGTGGGAAGCTCCAAAGCTAACACAGGCTGAAAAGGGGAAGGCCTGGCAGCTGAGAGAGGGGGGAATAAAAGAGGAAGAGGCTCGCATTCAACCATACTCAAAGCTCACTCTGACTCATGCGCAATCACTCGCATTAGGGGTCACTCGTCTTCGTATGCCCTGTCGCCCACGTGGACACGCCATTGTAGTCGACCGCTCATGAACAGACGCTCACCACGGCATGACATAAAACATGAGATGCACACATGGGGAGCTCCACGCAGTGAGTAATTTGTTTAGGACGAGGAGGAGGAGGAGGAGGAGAAGGAGGGGAGGGATGAGGAGATCAGGAGAGGGTGGCGGAGGCCAATCGTCCTGTCACGCTCACGGCCTCGGCCGCCTCCTCGTCGACGGCGGCGTCCGTGAGAGTGAGCTGCTGCGCACCTGCAGGCGGAGCGCCTGCGGGCGGGGCGCCTGCGAGAGGGGCGCCTGCAGGCGGTGCGCCTGCGGGCGGGGCGCTCGCGGGCAGCGCGGCCAGGTGCTGGTTCGCGTAGGCGTAGTACGTGTTGCCCTGGATCGCGGCCCTCGGCTCCTGCCACGGCCGATCCGTGGGGCTGTCGTACTCGATGGCCTGCTGCACGCGAAGGCCGAGCGCTGACCCCGACCTGCGCACGGACTGCCTCGTCAGCGGCGGCCTGTACGTGCCGTGCGACCTCCTGCACGGCAGGTAGCTCTTGATCGCGTTGAGCTTCACCACGTCCAAGGGGCATGGGAACTCAGGATGGTCCGCCGAGAAGGCCGCCTGGTACACGTTTGGGAACCTGGCGTGAAGCTCGGCAGGCGTGTTCGGGAACACATCCACGACGTCATGGTGAGGCCTGCGCCACCGACCTCGAAGCATGACGATCTGCGTGTTCAGCTCCATTTTGCGCTCCAGGGCCGTGGGGCCGTCTGGCTCTGGCAACTGGTCAGGTGGAGTGCGGGCGCAGAGGTAGATCGCGTACATGTCGCGGAGCACTGGCTCGGACGGGCGCATGAGCCCGAGCTGGTCGCACCTGTGGGCGATCGCTCTCGTCACGTCTGGGTTCCACAGCTTGGTGTGGTCCGCGTACACCTCCCACAAATCCTTGCTCGTGAAATTCTGGAAGGCTGGGCACTTTTGGTTGAAGACCTCCGCTCCACCAGCGCCTCCACGCCCGCGACCGCCCGTGCCGCGGGGCATGCCGCCAGCGACGGCCACCTGCGGTCGGGATCGCTGTCGTCTTCGTCGCCGTCATCGTCGTCGTCGCCAGGGCCGTCGTCGTCGGCGGCGTCGCTGCTGCCAGGGCCGTCGTCGCCACGTTCGTGGTCGTCGTCACTTGGTGGCCGACGGCCTTCCCATGCACGAGGGCGCCAAAGTAGGACTTGTCCTGGACGGTGAACTGGCTCCCGCGAATGTCCTGCATGATCGCGGTGGCTTCGGAGAGGGTAATCGGGCCGCTGCGCCTCACGGCGTCGGAGATCATGTTCTTGGCCTCGGCCGTGGCGTCGACCCCGATGCTCCTGCTCGTGGCGACGTGCTCGATGATCAGCTTGCAGTTGTCGACCAGCGTGTTGACTGCAGCCATCCCCCCCCAGCGCGAGACGGGGCGACGGTCGGTTGGTAGTAATTCGGGCAGAGCCTCGACACCTGACCAAAGCCCAAAAGGGCTGCAGAGGCGGAGGTGGAGGAGGAGCGGGGGCGCAGGCGCGGGGAAGATGGGTGGGAGGAGAAGGAGTGGGATGAAGGGGGGAGGGAGGAGGGGGGGGGGGAGGAGGGAGGGAGGAGGGAGGAAGGTCAGGAGCTGCATGGAGGGAGGTGGGTCAGGGAGAAGGGAGGAGGGTCAGGGACGGTTGGAGGGGCGCCGCAGACCCGTTTGAGACACTGCCCCGAAAGGTTCCTCCTCCTTCTCCTCCCCCTCCTATGGTTCGGTCCCCAGGGCGAACCTCCCAGGGGCCAGGCGGCCCCTGGGAGCACGGAAAAAAGAACTGCCAGCCTCCTCCTCGTCCCCCCTTCTCCTTCTCCTCCTCCCCCTCCTCCCCCTCCTCCTCCTCCTCCTCCTCCTCCTCCTTCCTTCACCGCTCGCTTAGGTCCTCTCCCCACAAGGAAAGCCACGTGCTGTTGAAGGACCAGAAACTTGCTAAAGCTGGTCGGGCTGCTCCGGCCTAAC